TCCTCATGTGCCTTCCTTTCCCATGTTTAATTTGTCCCAGGTGTTTCCCTTGATGTTTCATTGCTCCCAGGTGTGTCTCGTCATCCCCTCCTCCTGTGTGTATAAATAGGGTTCCCTGTGTGTGCTCCAGCGTCCGGTATTGTTCATGTCGTCAGGTATAGCGTGAGTGTTCCATGTTCCGTTGTGTCAATTAAACCCAGTTGGATTAATGTACTCCTCGTCTCTCTCCGTTCCTTGCTCCTCAGTCCGCTCAGCAGTGCACCCGTGACAAATATTAATTAACTACATGTACTTACTATATGGTTAGGGTTTGGCTTAGGGTTACTTGCATTTAATTATGCATAATTAATTGTTGTTATTATAATAGTCAATGCATGTAACGTGTAACAAGGACACCTTAAAATAAAGTGTTACCAAATTTTTTAAATAGAATGATTATTTTACTTAAAAATTAATTTTGCCTAAATTAACTAAAACTATCAAATAATATGACTAAGTTAATTATTTATGCTTTTATCTGTAATTATATCAGTAAAGAGTCACGGGGACGCAATTGGGACACAAATCGGACACAAATGGCTTCGTCTTCTGTACATTCTTCAGCAGTCATAGGACGTTCACTAAATAAAATCACTGCTAGAGTACATTTGAAGCTGTATTCTGTGAGCACACTGCGTCAGTATGTCGGATGCGTTTGTGTCAGGTGTACATTGAGAAGCAGAAAGGGGAGATTCTGGGTGTGGTAATCGTGGAGTCCGGCTGGGGCTCCATCCTTCCCACCGTCATCATCGCCAGCCTGATGCACGGCGGACCCGCGGCCAAGTCTGGAAGACTGAACATCGGCGATCAGATCATGACCGTCAACGGCACCAGTCTGGTGGGACTGCCGCTCTCCACGTGTCAGAGCATCATTAAAGTAGGACTCATTTCTTTTACCTTGTACATTTCTAATATTTTTATTAAAGGGGTCATCGGATGCCCATTTTCCACAAGTTGATATGATTCTTTAGGGTCTTAATGAAAAGTCTGTAACATAGTTTGGTTAAAATTTCTCAATGGTAGTGTAAAAAATACCTTTTTTTACCCTGTCAAAACAGCTCCGTTTTGTATCATTTTCCTTTAAATGTTAATGAGCTCTGCTGGCCCCGCCCCTCAGAGGGACTGTTTACTTTAGCCGCATTCATCGTGAAACTTGCTAATTAGCACATTATTAGGAAAGTTTTATTAACTTAAATTGACTATAATCTGGATAGATTTTTTTCATTTACAGTAGGTCGGTGTGGATTCTGGAATTGCCTTGTTCACAAATGGTACCTGTTCTATGTTCAGGGGCTGAAGGCTCAATCCAGGATCAAGCTGAACATCGTCAGGTGTCCTCCTGTGACCATGGTGCTCATTCGCCGACCAGACCTGCGCTATCAGCTGGGTTTCAGTGTACAGAATGGCATTGTGGGTATTCACATCTAAACATCAGAAATGGATTGCCAGTTTCTGTCATGTTTTACGAGCTACTAACAGAGTTTGTGTTTTGTTCAGATCTGTAGTCTGATGCGAGGGGGGATCGCAGAGAGAGGAGGGGTCCGCGTCGGCCATCGCATTATCGAGATCAACAGTCAGAGCGTGGTGGCCACAGCTCACGAGAAGATCGTTCACATCCTGTCAAACGCTGTGGGAGAGGTAAAGATCCGCCTGTGTCAAGAGCTGCTCGTTCGGTGAATCAGTTCATTCACACGATTCAATTAAATAAACTAGATGAAAAAATGTAAATATTAAGATCAGTCATAATTCAGTAGTCTAATTCAGAAGTCTGAAAGACATTTTACATCATTAATTTTTGTTGCCAATATTTTATTATTTCTAAAAATTATTAAAGGACAAATAATTAGTCAAATGCTGCTTCTTATGACTGTTTTTGAATCAGTTTTATAAATCAAATAATTTTTTTGTTCTATTAGATTATGCACGTTTTCAACGCTAATTGAGATCATGATTTCATTAAATTTGATTTCGGAAAGTCTCAACTCTAAATTCTGGATGAGCCATGATGAACACATATCTGTGATTCATATAAATTTGCATATTATATATATATATACAGTTAGTTGCTATGTTGCTTGGCAACTGTAAATTGCTGTTGAACTGTATGGAAGAGCCTTATTAATAGAGTTCAAAATATATTCCATATTGGTTGGCTTTCATCATATTTCTATTACTGCCATTTTATAACAGTAGTACAGCACCTCATGCTGTGTTTTATAGTGATTTTACCATGAACAACAAGGTTTTATATAATTACAAATATATTTTTGCTTCATTTAGATCATTGAGATACTGTTTTAGTTTTAGTAAATTTGTTTTTAGTATTTTTTTAAAAATTTATTTTATTATTATTTTTTTCAGTTTTAGCAATTTTGTTGCATTTATGCCATTTTTAGTAGTTTTTTTAAAAACATTATATCGTTTTTTTTATTCATTTTCAAAATTAGAAATGTTGCTCTGGCAACTAGATGAAATAAAATAAGTTAAAGTTTTTTAGATTTGATTTTATTTCTGTTAAAATTTATTTTATTTAAAATTTTTTTTTTTTCAGTTTTAGCAATTTTGTTGCATTTATGTCATTTTTAGTAGTTTTTTAAAAAAACATTATATCATTTTTTATTCATTTTCAAGATTAGAAATGTTGCTCTGGCAACTAGATGAAATAAAATAAGTTAAAGTTTTTTAGATTTGATTTTATTTCTGTTAAAATTTATTTTATTTCCAGTAACAAAATATTTTTTTTTTTTTAGGTGTTTACACAACAACATACTGAAAACGGAAAAGTTTTTCCTTTGCATTTAGAAGAGTTTCATGCACAGACGACAACATTGTCAGAATGATCACCGTTCACACAGATCTGCGAAACGACTAAAAGCGCTGTATTATTCATGCCAGCCCAGTAGTTGGCGATGTCACTTTGAAAAGAATCATTTTCAAAAACTTGCACTTTTAAACCTGTTTTTATACGTTTGCATTTTCAGGCCCTCAAAACCGTTGTCATGTAAATGAACGGCCAAAGCGCATACACATTTTAAATAAACATGGTGTCGTGTAAACGCACACTTACGTTAACTATAATAAACCTGGCTGTTTTTGATGGCAGGCTTTGCTGATAGCCTGTTGCTAAGCTAATTGCTCAAAACTAATAATCTTAAAAACCCCAGTAGTTGGCGATGTCACTTTGAAAAGAATCATTTTCAAAAACTTGCACTTTTAAACCTGTTTTTATACGTTTGCATTTTCAGGCCCTCAAAACCGTTGTCATGTAAATGAACGGCCAAAGCGCATACACGTTTTAAATAAACATGGTGTCGTGTAAACGCACATTTAAGTTAACTATAATAAACCTGGCTGTTTTTGATGGCAGGCTTTGCTGATAGCATGTTGCTAAGCTAATTGCTCAAAACTCTAATAATCTTAAAAATATGATGCACACATGAACGGTGATCCAGTGAAGGTGAATACTGTAATATGTTGTTTTTGTCAGATCCATATGAAGACTATGCCTGCAGCCATGTACCGCCTGCTCACGGCCCAGGAACAACCCGTCTACATCTGACACTCTGCAGGGCTACAACACCATCACCTCCACATGAGCCGAGCCAGAGTTATTATTTATTGAAAGATTAATATAACTGTTTACAGATTTATTTAACAAGATGTATTTATTTATTACACATTAGTGCAGAAACCAAACCATTGCAGTACCATGTGACCTGCCTTAATCTCTCTGGTCTGACTGATCTCTGAACGCCTGGCATTAGTACCAAAGAGAAGTGAATGGAGATCAATCATGTGCCCGACACACGACTGGACCTAAACTATCACAGAGATCAATGGCACTGAGCACAGTAACACAGGATTCAGTCGAACTCTTACTGACACAGATCTGATGAGCTCTACTGTTGTCATCAGTCAACCCAAAGTAAAGGAATCAATGAACTAAATATTTACACTGGTTTGTTTTCATTAAAGTTGTACATTTTCTATAGAACACATTTATATAATATGTTTTGACCCAAGGTCTCTAGATTAAAGTGATAATCTGACTTTACTTTCATTTCTGGTTAATCTGCTCACTATGTAACTTTTTCTGTGTTCAAAATTTGCAAAATGTATATGATGAACGAGTACATCATGAATTCATCTTCCAAACCGCGTTTTTGTCTTATTCCGAATCACTACGGTACACTTATAATAAGTACTTATATTTGGACTATTGCAGCCTGGTCGGGTCGTCACCGCTGCGGAGGAACACCTACCTGCGTGAATCGCCATAGACATAAATTTAGAGAAGTAGCTCCGGTTGGAATGTTCTTCCGCGGGATGTGTGCAGTTCTGTTTATTAACCGCTGAGCGTACATAGTGCTGCTTTAAATAAATAAAAGCATTTGGTGGGTCTCTAAACGTTCGTTCGACACTATTACACTGTTGTGGGTTTAACAGAAAACAACAGCATTCACAAGTAAAGTAGCTTATGTGATGTAGGAAACATTGTAAAATTTTAAATTTAGCATTTGGACAGTAAAGAAAAATCAGTACTCTAGCCTTCAGTGTCACGTGATCCTTCAGAAATCATTCTAATATGCTGATCAAAAAAACATTTCTGATCATCAGTGTTGAAAACAATTGTGCTGCTTTATATTTCTGTGGAAACGGTGATAATTATTTAAAAAACAATTAATTTTGTACCAATGTGTTTTATATTTGATTAATTTAATGCATCAATGCTGAGTAAACGCATTCATTTCTGTAGACAGCAATGTACATTTGCAACTATTTAGATTGCAGAACTTTTGTAGATATAAAAGCACAATTAATAATAATGGTAATTACTATAAAATATTGTAGAGACGAACATTAAAAAATCTATCAGAATCGGTTAATTTCTGCTCTAGATATGGTTTGGGTTATTGATAGTAGTAGTGAGACAAGCATGAATAACGACAAGCAAAAGTAACAACATTAAAAGTCAGGTTTATTGATTTGTCTTTAAAAATTAAAAAATCCCACAACTCTTGGTTTATTAGTGGTTAAACCCAAAGCACTGATCACAGACACACACCAATAGTGTGAACATTACACATGATCTTCTTATATTCTCAGAGAATCGATATAAAAACTGATGTGAAGCCAGTTTTTAACATAATTAGAGCATAGTAATATATGGAGCAAGCATTAGCTAAGCATAAGTTAATACATGTTTGATCAATGACATTAAGGCACTCCAGCAAATGTTTTGGAAAATAACATTTAAACCAATTTCACTTTTGGTTTATGGCAAACTTCAGCAGTGTAAATGAGGAAAGTGTAACGTTAACTCCATCTAGAAGCATTGTGGGGAAAAAAAAAAAACACTACAGGCAGACATGAAATATACACTGAAATTTCATATAAAAACATTGCAGGTATAAAAAGATGCGGTTTTATAAATGGCATGTATATACTGCATGTGTGTTTGTGGCAAACACTATCTCATGTGCTTTATCTGTGGTTCATGTCAGTCCCTCTTACTCACACAACAACTAGAAGCACATTCATTTGCTTTATAACGACATGCACAGGAAACATCCCAACACAGACGGACGCAGTGAAGAGACTCGGCTTCTTCTGCTCTGACGGTTTTTGGGAGATTGGGTGTTAGAGTTCAGTGTCGTTGTATTTCTGGGCACTGTAGTAGCCTCTGCGGGTTTGGTCTGCCAGCTGGCGTCGATACTCCTCTTCATCATCATCATCATCGGCGCGGTGGTGAGAGCGGCTCTCTGAATACAGCGGTTTGGAGGAGCTCTGGGACTCAGAGTTTGAGCTGGAGCTGAAGGGAACAGAGCCATTACTGACGGGTTGTGTGTTGAAATGAGTTATTAGTGGAAAAAAAAGCCCAAGAACAAACTTACCCAATTGGTTGAGGCCTGTTTTGGTTTGATTTTAGCTTGTGGGGAACTGCATAAATATCTGGATGTTTCTGAGATATTTCCAGCTGTTAACCAAAAAAATTATTCTTATGAGTTTCAATGAATTCAATTTTTGGAACCTGTATTTGTCAGAAATCATGAATTTCAAATTTAAATATCCAGGTCATATTTCACCCCAAAAAAGAACGAAGTGTTAAAAGAACAAAGAATATATATATATATATATTCTTCTTTGTTCTTTTAACACACACACACACACACACACACACATCCTCATACATAAATGTAAAGTAACAAAAATTGTATAATTGTACTTC